AATCCGTATTGATTAATAACACAATTCAAGAACTAGTACCAGTATTCTTGTACGCCTGAAGATGACCAAAGAAAAGGATCGAAAAATGTGGCATTACCACCAACAGCTAATAAAACAAATGTCGACACTATAGTGTCTATTTGTCTGTTCCAGAACTGTTGTATATCTTTCATTTGTTAGACGAGTACATGTATAAGCTTTTGTGCCATTAAATTGCCCTGCTTTTCCCATATTTTAGTCCGGTCCTATATGTTACCGAATGAATGATGCATCGAGGCCGACGTCCAACGCCACCTCCCACGAATAACATGCATAAGTAGTCAGTCGTAAACCATCTTATTTATATAGTACAAATATACTACACTTCACATATTCGCATCAATATATTAGTAACAGATACGATATAGTGAAAGAGAGAAACTAACATTCTCCCGTTGGTGACCCACCACATAATTTATGTTCATGCGACGTGTTAACGCTCCACAGTTGTGTGCTATGGTAACCTGAAATTGCGGAATGCAATGATATGTCTCACGCTTACATAACTGTTCTATATACAAGTATATAGAAGGAATGTTGCAGGAAGATGACGAAATTGCATGAGAATTTTTTAAAATTATAACGTGCTTTTCACCAAGTATTATTAGATTGCTCAAATCAAAAAGGATGGGATGGGCGGGGCATGTGGCACGCGCAGGAAAGATGAGAAATGCATGTAGAATTTTAATCGGAAACGTAGATGTAAGAGACCACTTGGGAGACCTAGATGTAGATGGTAGGATAATATTAAAAATTGATTTTAGGGAAGTAGGGTGCGAGGTGTGAACTAATTCAACAGTCCCAGGATGAGGTCCATTGACAGGATTTTGTGAATACGGGTTTCATAAACGGTGGAGTATTCTGTTATTGCTTTTCCTGAAATCTAGCTCAGAGTACGCCGATTCAATCCACATGAGAGACAAGTTCATGAGGCTGACGGGGGCCTCGGCCATCTGAACACAAAGCAGGCTCAGCATGGGTTCACAAATGCGCTCTTCTGTGAGACAAACTGTCCAGGGATATGCAAGGAGGGAAGTGTCCAAATATATAACGGCCATATTCGAAAGAAAATCGCAGATGTGCTTTCCAAGATGAGAAATTTACGAATAAATGTATGACCAATAACAAAATGCTTCCGGGAGGGGGAACCGAGTGGGTCACCGTTATGTTTCTAGTTTGTTTCTCCCCCCCCCCNCCCCCCCCCTCCACGCCCGTCGGCAGGCGCTTCAAACTATATTACGCGAAATTCCTGCGGACCTTGGACCGTTTCATTTTATTTCACTCTTAATAACTGCCCAAATAACATATTTAAAACATTGTGACGGAAATAAGCCATGCTCTTCGCAGCTTATGTAGATCTGTTTACCGAATAATGGGAAACAGCTTGTGAAGAAAGGATTTTATTGAGGTCTGTTAATCGATTAATATTTATATTTTATTATTTACTATTAAAATAATAATCGACGAAACATTTATTAAATTAATAATATAAATTTACTTTTAAATGTGAAGTTACAACTTTTCAGTTGTAGTTTTGCCAGGGTGATCAAGTCAAGGACGACGAAATGGACGGGGAACGTAGGTCTTACTGTAGATACAAGAAATGCATACAGAATTTCTGTCGGAAAACCGGATGCTAAGAGACAACTTGCGAGACCAGACGTAGATGGGAGGATAATACTGAAACGTGATTGAGTGCATTACTATGTAGGACAGTTCTGAAACGATGCACCATCACCGAGCACTGCGTTCGAGTGGTTAGCATTTCTTATTATTCTTCGGGAGTTCTCGGGTTCAGGCTTCGGCTCGTAAACGGCTTTCATGGTGTTTCTCCTTCCAGGCAGATGCCTGCATACGTACTTACTTACTCATGGAACTAGCCCTTCTGGAGGAGCCGCCAATTCTGCAGCTACTCAAGAATTTTCTAGCATTTTATGGAACCCGAAGGTTCATTACCGTGTTCACTAGAGCCCTCCACTGGTCCCTATCCTGAGCCAGATCAGTCCAATCAATACCATCCCATCCTGTCTCTCTAAGATCCATTTTAATATTGTCCACCCACCAATATCCTATACGCATTCCTCGTCTCCCCCATTCGTGCTACATGACCTGCCCACCTCATCCTCCTTGACTTCATCATTCTAATTACATTCTAATTACTTGGAGAAGAGTACAAGTTATGAAGCTCCTCATTATGCAGTTTTCTCCAACCTCCCGTAACTTTATCTCTATGCCTGCATAGTACTTTAAATTAGGTCATGGCCGTTCCCTTTCACGTCCTTTCAAATTTATTATTCACTGCTCATTCTATCACTGACGTTATATTGACTGAACAATTGAAAGCTTCCTTAAGTAGACTAAGAACAGACCAGACACACCATTAATGCGTTTCTCACTTCACGGAGAAGTAATGTGAATCCAAGAGCAAAACATCTATTTTAGTCAGACAAGAGTGGGTTGGAATAGCTCAGAATATCAGTTGGTTAAAGGCTGACGAATGTAGTTCGACTCCCAATAAGGGTAGGGATTTTTCTGTGCCACCATGTCCGAGTTGGTTTTGAAGCCCACCGACACTCATGTTCAAGGAAGTACGTTTTCGCTGAAAGGCAACCAACATTTCGGAGGAAAATATCGCCTCCATCTTCACGATCTAAGAATAGGCCGAACAAGAAACTGACGTGAAAGCAGGTGACAAGCAGAGGCGATATGTTCCTCCGAAACGTCGGTCGACTTTCAACGGACTACATTGCGTTACATCCCAGAAGATAGAACTCTTCACTGCCACTACTGTCAGAACCTCGTATCCTTAAAGGACAGAGTTTTTCAGCTGAAATGACAAACCGATGACATTTACCGTGCCGTCAGGCAAAATCACAGCGACGTTCTGTGTTGATCTGGTGCAACCTGGTTCCGACTAGGATCACGGTCGTCGCCCTGCCGGTTGGCACGCGAGGGGAGTCTGGGGGCGGGAGATCGTCTTCAGCTATGACACTGTTGGTAGAGGCATGATCCTTTTATAAATAAAAAACTCTCCCTCATGAGACCAAAGTTATATTCCTTCTGATTAAGGTCAACATGAGCAATATGGCGCCCGGGCGTATCTTACGGAAACTGGAATGTCGGTCAGGATAGCGGCTCCTCTGCTTGTCGTGGATGAAGTACCAGAGAATAGATGGATAGATCTAGGAGTAGAAGAATAATAATAAGAATAAAGAGGTCACCGACCTTTGATGTGCCTCAGAGGACAAAACGGATCCGAAAAGTCGAACGAACTCGAAAAGAGAACTGTTTGTAAACTTCCTGGTGGACAATGCATAGCGGTAACATGTATCAGCATAAAGTCAGAAGTGGGTGGAGTGCTTGGGGTCACTGCGAAGTAATCATTGTTGTGTAGTATGGAAGTTGCTTTCCCCGACACCTCGCCGCAAGACGTTCACAGAATCTCAGCAGTCTTGGACAGGAATTTGGTATTTTGCGTAATTGCAAACAGAATATTGGGAAGAGCATTTAAACATAGGAGGAAGGAGGTTTTTGGAGGATGGTGATAGTTACATGATGAAGAGCTCATAATTTGTAATTTGCACTGAATATTGCAGGAATCGTCGCCTGAAGGAGGGTGAGATGATCGGGATACGTAATACACATGGGGAAATGTGAAATGATAGCACAATTTTAATCGGGAAATCTGAAGTGAAAAGACAATTGGGGAGAGAAAGTTGTAGACGGAATATAATATTAAAATTAATGTAATATAAATAGGACATGAGGTTCCGAACTGGATTTTCCTAATTCAGGATAGAATCTAGTGGCAGGCCTTCGTGAATGCCGTAATAATCTTAGGGTGCCATAAAAGACGGGGATTATCTTGTCCGTCAGTTTCTGAAGAGCTGTACTCCACAGAGGAACTTGAGACAAACAGGGGATGTTAAAGAAGTTACAGATTTTATTCTCACAGCGGCAGATTTGCCATATGAATATTATACTGCAAATGTGTTTCCATTTGTCCGACCTTTATGGATGCCGCATTTGTGTTAATTTGCTGTCTGCTTGTCGGAAATCTAGTTTGTCATTTTAGGCCTCACTAAACTGTTGCTCATACAGTTAACTGTTATTCCCCATTTTAAACAGTAATTCAAAGTATGTAATTTTAAACTTTGAAAGTTGCTAACAGAAGTGCAGTGTGGAATGTGCCTGCGTGAATCAGAAATTTCGTGAGAATGAATTGTTAATAATTTACGAAAAGTAAATTTCGGACTTCAGCAGTAATAGGTCTGTGTACATAGACATACTGGGTCTTTTATTTGAAGAGATTCTGACCTGTTGAACCACTTGTCCACAATTTTATTGGACTGAGCATTCAGTAGATTTCCATTTCAGTAGGGAGGGGTTGCGTGGCTTTGATGTAAGGGAATTGGAGTTCAGATTATACCACAATTATATAATTAATATAATTAACACTATAATAATAATATAATTAATATATTAATAATTACATGGGTCAAATTCTAGTATACAAAGGCAGTCGGGAGACCCTGGTCGGCGTCAAGCCCTCATTTGTAATGTTAAAAGGGGTTTATTTTTTCTTAAATAATGCAAACGAAATGTTAGGTTTTGAGTTGTGTTTTAAAAAATCAACTCGTGATGTCAGAGGGGAACTATACCTCTAGTACTTCCACAAACTAGAATTTCACCATTCTATGGCAAATAAAGTATCGATTTGTATAGCCCCACGTGTTTTCTTCACGTCTTGTGAATCCCCCTCTATTAACTTTTGGATGCCCGAACCGATCTTGATGTAACTTGGTATGTATATTATGGCACCTGAGCCCGTCTCAGCGACATACTTTATAAATAAACTCTTCTCATCAGTCTGTTTGTAAAATAGGCGATTAGTTCTTCCCAGAACTTCTTGTTCATGTTTAACTGGTGAACCTTAAATAAGAGAAACCGGATGATTTCAGGTCTACTGAAAAAGAATTGAGATGGCATCTCACCCTACCAAACCCTGGTCAGAACAATCCTGCGGATTGCAGATCATCTGCAGTGGGGTTGTGGGCCGTCAGGAGACCGTGGACCGCAGTTTGCATTCTCCATGTTGAGGTAAGTGAGATAAGCCTTCCACTGGAAATGAAGACAGACAAGGTGCAGGTCCTGTGTATCTGGCATGTCGTGGCAGTAAGAGGATGGCTCCTTTTAGTGTGGCTCTCCACTGAGGGCAGAGCATTGTCCGGGTCACTGAGGTGAGACGGATACGATGAAACAGGACGAGACCGACAGGTAGAAAGCGTATCTCCTGCCTACGTCACAATCTGACATGAAAGAAATGACCCCTTGGCAAAGCTGGACCAAATCAGCTAATTCTCAGATTATTTGAGAACGTATTTATCAGAACTGATTATTTTAATACATCACGCAGAATGAGTGGTATCTTCATATTTGAAATGCTTCATTCTAGTGATTTACCGGTATTTAAAAAAAAACAGTTCGATTCTCGAGCGGTCCATTTACAGTCTGTAGGGGACAGATGTACACGTGCCCTACTTGAGGTTCTGCCATTCATATGGATATTTATTCAGTCTTTCAAATAACTATCATGGATGATTTAAAATATTCTTTTCCCCATCGACGTGCTATGCAGTTTACTACGCTTCCTTGGGGCCTGTTTATAAAAGTCCATGTATGGTTTTACATAAAGTAGGTTCTGCTACGTATCAATATGGCTGAAACTTGGAACTGTCTGTGTTTACTCAAAGTTTTTATCAGATTAAAAAGAATCTGTCCAGCAGTTCAGGTCACAGACAAGCTGAGAGACATGATTTTCACATAAGGCCTTCCTTTTGCATACTGCTGAAATACTGCCAATTGATGTCATTACAAGATTAACATTAATGGTGCTCAAAATTGTGATTCACGATTAATACTGCACAGCGCTTCTGTCAGCAGGTACATGCTGGTGTGCACACTAAATCACACATCTGTCAGTGCATTGTGTATTTCGATCTTGATGCTAAAACTGCGCATGAAAATACTGGCAAACACGTTTTTGAAAAAAAAAATGCTGCTAATGCATGTAATTAATATTTTTAATAGTTTTTGATAATATTTTTTTCAGTGCTGGAAATAATAGTGAACAATGAATAAAAAGTATTTTGAAGAATACTTTCAAGTATAAATATTTCGCTACATTAGTATAAAAGATTATTAACGCTGTACAGTGTAATTGATAAATGTTGTATTTTTTAATTTATCAATCGCATTGGACGGCGTTAATAATCTTTCATATTAGTATTACCAATGTGGCGGACCAGGATCAATTAAGTCAAATTTAAATTATACCTACACTTGAAAATTAAATTACTAGCATCCTACACTCTCTTAAGAGTGAGAACTTGTCTGGACATGAATTATCTTGTATTTATTAATAAATGTTTTGATTTGTTTTTGTAGTAATTATCTAGAGGAAATTTTTCAGACAGACTAAAATGGCTAGTTGTAAAATCTCTGCACAAGAACGGGGAATGATGTATCTCAAGTTATCAGACAATTTCTTTGTTATCTGTGCCTTTTTAAACATTTTAACCGCAACAGCATATTAGTTAATGAATAATTTGGTTTTAGAAAGAAAAACCTATCCACTAACACAGCTACATAGGAAGTCACTTGAGAAACTCTGTGGGTTCTTAAGAAGAAAATTCATGTAGCAGGAATATTATGTGACCTTGAAAATATTTTTGGAATCTCAATTGTGAAATGTTGTTAACAAAACTGCCTTATTATGGAAATGACGGAATTGCTAGTAAATTGCATCTTGAAAATGGATGAGAAGGGGTTGTGGCAAAAGCATCAAATAATTATCAAATGCTTATACTGATTGGGTTATAGTTAAACATAGAGTTCTACAGGGCTCAATTCTCGGTCCTTTGCTTTTTAGTTTTACCTTGTTTACTTAAGGGAAAAAGTATGCTTGTGAGATCACAGTTCTGTAGTTGTGAGTCCTCTATTTTGACTTTTACTAAGGTAAGGCTTCTGTTAAATGCAATATAACAACATAGTGAACATGCAAAAATTGTCTTTTCCTTTCGGTTTCACGGTGATAACTAATGCACTATGGGAGTGAGGCATGTGAAATTTGGTACGGAGATAGATCATAAACGTGCGTACACATTAGGTATAAGAAGTCAGAATTCGTAAGTCAACAAATACAAACATGGTGACGGTCTGAAACGTTGAGGATATATGCAAAAATTTAACACAGAATGTATACATAAATAATAAGTTCTTCATAAAAGTTAACAATACGAATGTTGAGTAGAGTTGTCAGCATGCCTGCTTTGTATCTTGGAAGTCCTGGGTTCAGGTGTTGGGCCAAAGATCAGCGCTCCTGATTGAGGTTTCCCATGGTCCCTTCCCCATCTTTCCCAGTTTATTATTTGACATTACACAATCTGACAGTGACATTAACTAAATCATAAACAAACAAGATACCTTGTTGTCTGGTAGGTGAGCACTCATCTGCCAGACTAAACAGTTCTCTAACCCAGTAGACTATACTGTGAATCTTCACTTCAGTGACAACCTTGATCTTACAAACATCACCTATATTAGAGTCAATACTCATCAATGGAATGCACATTTTTCTTAATAGCTCAAGACAAACTTTCATTTCTGTAATTACTTAAAAATATACATTCCTCATCAGCAGCCAGTGTAGACAATAAACAAGGAAATGAAATGTACGTAATTTTATTTTCATCATCACACACACCTCCACTGCTATATTTTGTACTGTGGTAGTACATGAAAAAAAAATGAGAATTCGGTCACAGTATAATCAAACACATACAGTATTTATTCTATACAGAAATAAATGATCTCCATTTATTATATATTTACAGCTTTAAAATTAGAGGTGCACATAAACTTATTACAAATAAATTATTTTGTAGATATTTATTTTACCATATTTTTTCTGCAGCTGTCAAAGTTATTCATAGTTACACTTGGGAATGCTGTTCAATGATAAATGGTTTTGCATTTAACAGATACCACAAAATATAAAAGAAATGCATGCATGAAAGACAGAAATATATTTGTAATCTTAATTAGCAACTTTTCTTACTTTAGCATATCTGTAACACTATCTTTCATGACTCATTTTTATAAATTATACATCTTAATTAAAAATTTAATATTTTCTTTATTGTTAATTTATACACAAGTCTCAGTTAACTAATATGCCTGCAGAACTTCTCTTAATGTAAGAAAGCTACATATAGAACTTTAGGCATTGCAGAAATAATTCCATCTATCAAAACACTTCCTTCAGTTCTATGACCCTTAACTTGTGATATAATATTTAAAATAATCATTTTTACATTTCAATTAGATAATATTCAATGTCATAAGACTTCAGAATGATACTTTTTTTTAAACAAGCCTTATTGGTAATGAAATTTTTGCAACAGTTATTACAGATGTGTAACTGATATACACAATTTACAACTTAATGAGTTTCATTCAACTGAGTACAGCCACTCATTTTTATTATTTTCTACACCATCTGGTACAGTATATGTAATTTCACATTGTACAGTCTTGTGTGGGTGTAAAAGTATAGACTGCCAGTCACTGTTAAATACTATCTATGTAACATTAGCTTTTACAGGATATTTATCTTTAATGAATGTAAGGTTACACAGTGATTGTTGGTCTATATTTCTACATACACAAGATTGTACAATTTGAAATTACATGTACTATCCCACATGGTGCAGAAAATGGTAAAAATGAATGGCTCTGCTGATATGAATGAAACTCAAAAGTTGTGTAGAACATACTTAAGTTTATATACAGAAATAGTTATTGAAAATCTAAAGGTTTGTGACGACAGGGACTACCTCTATCGTTTAGTCCCAACTGAGTAGTTTTTTACTTCGGGATAGAGACAGAATCCAGTCTCCAAAACGTTTTAAATAAAAACAGGATGATGGATTCAGTTTGGTTGGTTTCTTGTACATAATAATGTATTTCATTTTGGATGTTAAAAATAGATGTTCTTACATTCATACAGGCTAATTTTTTGCACCATTCAGTACATACATTTGATTTCTGCAATTGATCAAACTTAGCCTCAAGTTCCAGTTAACTATTTTGGAACCGCAAACATTTCATGACTAATGAGGAGGGGTTAAGTAAAAACCTACTACACAAGGACACAAAATTCTGGCAGTTATATATATCTGACAGATGTCTGTTTCTAAGTGTGCCTGGCTTCAGTGCGTGCTCTTCCTTTGTCTTATACTTTACTCATCTCTTTCAGTATGACGATGGCAGCTTAGCTGGTGGTTTTTAATACAGCATATGACATTAGGATTATAATATTGTTTCAATTTGGGTCAAAATTTAAATGTTGAGTTTCAAAACTACAGATAATCCAACTTGTGAAAGGTGCCTACAAGAAAACGAATCAGCCCCACACATCCTGTGTGATTATGAGGCCACAGCTTGTTTAAGATTTTGTCACTTGGGTCAGTTTTTTATGGAACCAAATGACTTTTATGATGCCCCAATAAGCAGGGTCCACACTTTATATTAAAAGTGTAGGATTAATAAAGGGCTAATCCAAAGGGAAGCACAATAGATCATTGAAGGTCATAGTGTGGGGGCCGGTTTTCATGGCACATACATTACATTACATTCAAAACTACAGGGGTTACCATTTGAGAGGGAGATTATAACTACACTACACTCTCTGACAACAGAACTTGAAGCTCCAATGACAATAAAATGAGATATCCGCAGGACATGATCCTGGACCATTTCAATTTAGTTCACATCCTTGAAACCTCATTTCTCATCATTTCTTCCTGTATGTCTTCTAGGTGACTGTGTTTCACCTGCCAAATTTCTGTATGCATTTCTTATTTCCCTAATCACAGTTTCTAAATAGCCCATCCATTCTTGATTAACTAACATAAGAATTCTAGGTGGGTTACATAAATCACACAATTCCTCTTTGTGTAATACCATAAAATTCAGAGCTTAATCTCTGTTGCAGGCGGAGACAGTTAACTTTTATTTGTAGAAGTACCATTATCTTACTATTTGCCAAGTCATTATATCTTAATCATTCCAGCAAGACTGTTATGCTGCATGCCAATCTTCCAAGGCAGTGAAGTATGGGCAGTAGTAATGAAGTAATGTGTATTACAAATTGGACATAATCCTTACGTCAGTTAGATATTTAACATTTTTCTGGCCTCCATACAAACGTCAAAAGAATTTGTTGGATTTGAGGTTCTCGTGGTGGTGACCTTGAAGGTACAGTCTTCTGGGTTGCAACAAACTACATGGCATTACAATCCAGAAGACCATACTCGTCATTAGAAGCATTTGATTTGACCATTGCAATTCTGTCATCCATCTTGGTTATTACACATTTACAGCAAAGCTACAAAATCCTCACATTTCCACTCCACACTTCAGACATCTTTTAAACCCTTAAATGCAGCAGAGAGGTTTTCTTGGATCTTACTGGTGGTAGATATACGAGTATGCTTACGGGAGACTATACACTGGAATTATACCAGATCTATCTTCATCTTTTGGATTAGGGGAGGGGGCTAAATTAAAATTAACTTTGAATTCTAATTAAATCATTCATAGTACAAATTCAGTGCAACGGGTTTTAATCTGAAAATGTTATGTCCTAATTACAAAGTACTAAGAACATATAGAGACAAGTACATAAACTGTGTACTTCAATATCACATATTCATTTACTATTGAATAGGACACTGCCACCTAAAAAGACACATTTTCAAACTGGGACTGACAGATGACCAAACTTGTGAAAGGTGCCTACAAGAAGATGAATCATCAACACATACATAAGCCATAGCTTATTTAAGATTTCATCACCTGGGCCAGTTCTTTGCATAACCAAGTGACTTTTATGACGCCCCCATAAATAAAGCCCTACATTTCATTCAAAGTGTAGGATTAATAAAGGGTTACTCCAAAGGGGAGCACAATAGATCATTGAAGGTCCCAGTACAAGGGCTGGGTTTTATGGCCCACCCCTTACACATATTACTACTACTACTGAACAGAACCAAGTGTAAGGATGGTAATACAGGTATTGAATGTTATATGTGAGTTAAAAAATGTAATCAACTAATTTGGATAAATAGCACTTGCTTTAATGCAAATTGTTTGCTGGCCATTTGGGAGGGGTAAGGTGAAGTGGAAGTGAGAGTACTGTATGGGTGGGGGAGGAGGAATGCAGGGGTAGAAGGGAAACTGGTCCACCACACACCCTGTTCTGTGAGAAGTCAGAGGCTGGGAAGCAACTAAAAATGGGTGATCTTTTTTAAAGTCACTGTGACTAGCAAATCCACAAAATACCTCAAATGAAAATTGACCACCAACTTCAGTGGCATTAAATGCAAAACTCAATATTACTTACTTTTCAAAGCATTCAACCCCCTTCTCTAATGCACAGTCATCCTCAACCATCTCTCCCTGTATAACTCAATGACTCATCCATCAGGTCATCCATTTATCTCACCTACCATATCAGCTGCTTTTGCCATCTAAAAACTATTTAACAACATTTAGAATACGTCTTGTTAATATGTTTCTTAACGTCTGAGAGATAGACAGGGAAAGGGGTGCTGTACTGCACAAGACAAGTTTAAGTAACAGCAAGAGTATTCTGATACTTTTGTAACAGATTTCAGACATTTCTATTCATTATTATGGGGACATTATGTGTGATTTATGTGATTTCACCCTCTGCTACTAAATAAGGCAACATAAATCCACTAACAGTTTATACAGTGAAATACTTCTAGTGTAAACCATACAAATTTACATTTTATTCAATAAAGGTAATAATTTGAAACATTTTCACATGTTAAAAATATCATGTAATCACAAAACTCATACTTACTACATTTTTGTTTTAATTTATAAGCTGTTTTCGATAATATCCTATACAGACACATCCTGTGTATAGAATGTGAACTTTCTCATAAGACTCTCATACGACAAACTGATATGCTGATATATTTGCAAGTCAAAAAATTATATGTCCATATATGCATACAGTCTGAAAATGGAATTTTCTGATGAATAAAGCTGAGGCAGTATGGACTGCAATGGCACACTGCTAAGACACTGTACTCACAGAGACTGATGTGTGAAATTTAATATATATATACTCTCAAACAGTGCCATCTACAGCACTCACACAACAGAATTTGGTTTCTGGTACCATCTTGCACATGATTTACAAGCAGTTATAACATCACAGATATGAACTGATGGATGAGGTTTGTTCTTTCATTTCAGACATGCATATTTATGCACACATAAATAAATGCATTTGTGTTTCTATTGCCATTTTTCTACATGGTCTGTATGTAGCTTACATTGTGTAGTAATATACTGATGAGACAGTGAAGTGATATTAGTGGGTAGTTGCTGGCTTCCCAGGTCTGGTGAAGTGGAATTTGTGGTGGACAAAGTGGCGCTGGGGCAGGTTTTCTCTGAGTACTTCGGTTTCCCCTGCCAATCTTCGTTCCATCAATTGCTCCACAATCACCCTCACCTATCATCTGGGGCTGGTACAATAGGCCAGAAGTGGCTGCAGTACAAGGGACTTAGTCCCACCCCACTAGCAATAAAAAGAAAGGCATTAAAACAATTTATCACTCTTAGTTCCTTGACTCCCCTTGTATGTTCATACTATGAATAATCATTACTGCAGACGCTGAGATTTCTTATCAGCAAAAGGGAACTCAAATTTTCATCCACAGATTCAATTTCTTTATTCACAGCAAAGGTATTACCTTTTATACCTCTTCCCTGGTTTCTTGCTCTACCCAAATTTGATGTTTCTTTAAAAATACTTAATAATATTCCCTATTAAATATCTGAACAAGTAAAGATGGTTATTAACCTTTCCTCAAAGCTACTATATGCTCTTATATTGCTTCAAAAAAGCTTTTCATTTCCATTTTAAAGTACATCACAGTTAACATTGAGTCTTCAAACATACAAGCAGTCAAATCAAGTAACAAAGAGCTCATGGTTATAAGAAGAACACTGAAACTTCAGGAAATAACAGTATTAAAAGAAAATATTAATTTCATCTCATTTTGCTGCAGTGTCATTTGTGGTTTTTGTAGTTGATGGCACTGGGAAGCTTGCGGGGGGTTGATGCGTCACACTTAATCGAACATTATGTATGTTCTGGGGCCTCTGAACAATTTTAAATGGCAAAAGAGATCCAAACAGAACATGCTGAATCACTGGAAATTTTGCCAGCACCTGAAAATCAGTAAAATTACAAAATGTGTACTATCCACAAGATAATCACATACAAAACATGAATCACAGTACAGCAATGTTAATTTAATATCAAAATAATAAAACTGGATCCAGTCTCTGATAGGACAAGCATTTTATACTCTGACATGCATAAAACAATCAACCTCAACATTTTTAAATACTGTACATGTTGACAACTGAACTGGTAAAAGAGTAACTCACATGCAGTGTGCTTCTCACAGAGGTTGTAGTATGTACTAATCTGTAACTAACTTTACTTTTGTAAATTTGCTAATTCATGAAACATTATCAAGTTCCTATAGAAAATAAATCACAATAGGAGACACTGATGGAATGACTCTCTGAAAATATCAAATTACACGTGATATTAAAATAATGCATGGATCAGAGGTCAAGGTGAACTGTCAAAGGTAAAATTGAGCTAAATTTACAAGATCCACTGCTATTATAAGTACAGTGTAGTGAAAAGTGAAATCTGGTCCCAAAGAGTTCAAATCCGCATGTAGAATATTTGCAAATCATTAACAGAGATGGAGTGAGTGAAGCATGAGTGTGTTTCATTCCTCAAAGAGTTCACGTGAATAATGAAAATGTGTGTTGCACTGTAAGTTCCGGAACCTTGTTGCATACAAGATGAAAATTAAGATTACAACCTTCTGGGATGTACACCACGTAATCTGGTGTTGCACTGTAAGTTCCGGAACCTTGTTGCATACAAGATGAAAATTAAGATTACAACCTTCTGGGATGTACACCACGTAATCTGGTGTTGCACTGTAAGTTCCGGAACCTTGTTGCATACAAGATGAAAATTAAGATTACAACCTTCTGGGATGTACACCACGTAATCTGGTATATAGGAGCCAATGTTTTGATATTGTTACCCCTCCCAGAATTACTGGGTCCTTGGGCTTTGTCCACTGTCTGGCATTATAAAAACTAAAAAAACACAACATTTCGGAAACAGGATCTGTTTCTGTCCTCAGGTGAGGAGGAGACACGTACTCTGTTGGGTCCGTTAAAAAGAGCTACTTTCAATCACTGGACAACACATATCAGTACAGCTATATAAATACCTGAGACCAGGCTATGATGGAGATAATAGGAGAATATGCAACAAAAACTGTGATAAAGTATGCACAGACCTCAAACTATGGTAGGAAGTTTCACCTCCCCTTCTATCTTGGTTTCATGTGTATGCGTAAAGTAAAGTAAAGCTATCCCTGTAACAGGCCGTGGAGGCCCATAGGGTTGTGAGATGTTGAGGTTCCCACATTTTCTAGACAATCTGAGCATAGGTGGCAGCGAGGTTGTCAGCCCTACGCGCTGGCCGTCCTTTACCCCCAAGAATATTCCTGGTACTGATTTCTGTTAGAGGCTGAGTTGACCCCAGGGCCATAGTCCAGCTGGAAGGATTAGGTCAATTGAAAAAATCCAGTGCCCTAATCGGGATTCGATCCCACGGCCTTCTGGCTTGTAGCACAGTGCCTCAACCAACTATGCTACCGCATGCCCCCATAATTTTTAGTATTCATTATTCCTGTTATCTCCGACTGACAAAGCCTGATGTCAGTTATTTATATAGTTGTAGTTATACTGACATCAGTAGCCGCGTGGTCTAAGGCATGAACTGTCTTTGCTGGCTCAGAGGCTGGGATCGTGGGTTCGAATCCCACTTAAGGCACGGATATTTGTTGTGTATGGGTTGGGTTTTTTTTTTTCGATTGACCTAATCCTTCCAGCCACACTATCGCCCTGGGGTCGACTCAGCCTCTAACAGAAATGAGTACCAGGAATTAATTAAATAATTTTCCTGGGGAGTAAAGTGTGGCCTGTGCATAAGGCTGATAACCTTACTGTCATCTTTGAGCCGATTATCTAGATAATGTGGGACCCTAAATGTCTCACAACCCTATGGGCCTTCACGGCCTGTTACAGGGATAGCTTTACTTTTTTTTTTTACTTTATGATTTTATTTTGTGTCTGTGTTGTCCTGTGTTTAGGTAGTGGCCTTCTAACAAGCTGATCACTTGGCAAAGGAGTCCTACTGTCTGTGAAAAATGATTATGAAACCGAATAACAGGCCAGGGCCCTGAATGAGTTGGAAGAGTCACTTAAAAAAAAAGTTATACCGACATGGGTTTTCTAAGGATTGACATTAGCTCTTTCTAAGGGACCAAATAGAGCAGATGTCTCCGACCTCACCTGAGGATGGAAACAGATCCAGTTTCCAAAACGCTAGTCTCTAGTTTTTAGAATGACAGACAATGGACAAAGTCCAACAGCGCAGTAATTCTGAGTGTTATACATCACTGTCAGAACCCTTTAGGATCTACTTGGTACCCATATGTCAGACTATATTGTGCCACATCCAGGAAGGCTGTAATCTGATTATTCAATACCAGGAAAAGATCAGATCTCAGAAAATGATATCCCCATGTACTTCCACCATTTTGCGTCTTTACAGCCAGCCAACAAGGGTATCAATATTTAATTAAAATGTCCATTATGCAAAATTCTCTAAGGAGTTGTAGCTTAGAAGTCATTTTTCTATTCTCTGTCATCTCACTTCCAGTTGAACTACGGTACGCCATCTCCTGACAGGATGAAGAGGCATAACTGTTACAGACACCATACAAAAACAAATCATTAAATAATACCTTTATCTGGAATTGTGTGAAAACAACACTTACTTCTGCTTTATACATTTTGATCAGTCCACCATTAATTTTTGTCCATGAAGGTACAGCACTGATATTCCAAAGTTGGTTTGAGTGTTCAGCAAATAGACCAGTTTTCACCTGCAACAAAAAGTCAGTCTCTTAATAATACTCATTATTTTAATCAACAAGGAGCAAATAACAAATAGAGCTTCCTCAGTGATAATGACTTGTTCTGTGTAAACAAGGCATTTCCAAAAGGAAACATAAAGAGAATATGGATAATTATTAAAATGTAAATAAACAGACACTGGGTGGTGTGAGTGGTAATGAAAACAAGGTTCTATTACAATGTATGGAAATAGTGAATCTGGTGACCATATAAAAGGTGACAAAACCAATAAGTTAAGTGGGGATAATTACATGCATGAAGCTCAGGATTTTCAGGAGAGTACTTGTGTAAAGAAGGAAGGCATACAAGAAGATATAAATAATGAAATGGAAGCTCTATCAATAAATGAAGGGAACACGACACAAGAAAAGACTGGTGTACCATCTAAGAGAACTAGAAATCAACCTTCAAAAAGAAACAAGGATTTTTTTATAGTAAATCCCCCACTTGAATCTGTTTTTTTCCCCAAGCAGAGGAAGATCTGATAAAACACAATATTTGAGTATTCTATATCATAAGGTTCAAAGTTTGGGAAATAAACTATTGGAATTAAATGCATTGCTCACGTCATGGGTATCAAAGCCAGATATTTTATGCTTTTCTGAACACTGGTTACACAAGGATCAAATTTTACATATAAATATTGAACATTATAAACTGGCTGATAGTTCCTGCAGGGATAATGATAAGCACGGGGGTTCACATATATTTGTCTCTAATGAAATAAATGTTAGGGGAGTAACCTTTTTAAAGAATTTAGGAAGGGATAAAGAACTTGAAATATCAGCTACTGAATTAGCTGATTTTAAAATTATAGTCATTTGTATATATAGATGTCCTCACAGTGATGTAAAAATCTTTCTAGGAATATTGGATGAAATTATAAGTAAGATAATAAAAAGGGGCGCTTTTTAGCGATATGTGGTGATTTGAATATTAACCTACTGCAAGAGAATTCTCATCGAAAAGCTTTATTAAGTTTGTTGTTGTCGAACAATTTGTTAAACACGGTTACATGTCCAACGAGACTCACAACAAATTCAAGCTCTCAAATTGATGTAATGATTAGAAATAAGACATTTTATCATACCACAACTGAGGTAGTAGAACTGGAATATTCAGACCATTTTTGCCCAGGTTATGAACATAGCTGTTAAATGCTGAGTCAAGCTGCCACTACTTCATGCTGATTCTGATGTCCAAATTAAACATGGACTGTCAAACAATCCTTTTAATTCATAATTTATTTACATCCATAAACTGTTAAACAAGTACAATTGGACAGCTCAGTTTAAGCCATCTAAAACACTACAACTCAACAACTCTTAAAAATGTACATAATGACACACAAGACTAAGAACAATACAGTCATCTTAGGATCATCCCCCCTGCCTGCTGAAACTAGCAACTGAGGATGACATCCCCCAGCAATCCCATATAAAGCAACACATACACTTATACCATCTATGTACAACACCACCACCTCAGAGCCAACCCAAGCCACCAAACTACCGTCCATCACTGTTACTAAAAAAACTCCTGCAGAGTAAGTAAAATATGAAGTTTCAGTCATACCTTATTTCTAACCACTTCTATTATGTAACCATCATCAAAACTGTGGCATAGTATACAGAATACAAAGTTTTCTGAGACTTAAATCCCTATCCATATTAACTTATATAAATTCACCAGTAATTCCAAAAATTCATCCTACATGTATCCATCCACAAATTTATGCTAGGCTGAAAGTGCTTTTTCACTTCTAGTTCTGAATAATGTGTCTTGATGAAATTGTGACATTTAGAGTAAACAGACTGCCAGATATAGCCAGGACATAAGAATTAATAACATTTAAGATTGTAAAACAGATTTTTTTACCTTATTAATGAACTGAATACAGCTGATGAACATGTAATCTTTAGCGTAAGATTGCACAACATCAGCTTGCAGGAATGACCTTGGTTCAATTCGTGGATGTGCTGAAATTTATATAAACAGGTTAGAAAGTATGAATATGACAACAAGACGTAATATGTTAAAAAATAATACCACACTCCAATGCAAAGTATCTTAATACATGTTAAATTATGAGCAAGAAGGCACAGTAGCCTTTCATGTTGGAACTGTGACATGCACTGTATATTGTGCTCAGAACTGGGGATGTATGTGGAGGTGTCATCAGAGCACAAGTGAGAAAAAATGTGAATTGCTGCTTATATAGTGGACATAATAAAATCAGCACTTGCAGGTAGATAGGCACTAATTAGAACTCGATATAAACAAATCCGATACTAGTGTGTTAATTTGGTTGGGGCTAATATTAAACAGTTCACTGAAAACTATGCCTGGAATGTGTAGAAGAGGAAGTGGAAGACACATGAAAAGTACAACACATTTTAATACATGAAATGCGCATTACTTTCGTAAATGAAACAACTCTGTTATAACAGCAACACACACAAATACAGACCAACAAGCTGCGAACTTCCCCAAATGAATGGAACAAACTGGTAATCATCCAGACTCCACACACCATGGCTGCCAGCTGGCTCCATTCTATAAGTCAGCTGCAACTTACGAACAAGAAGAAGGTATCTGCAAAATAACCATGATTTTGGTCATATGAAGCACCTATATACATATAATGACAGAGATGTCACTGCTTGAAATTATGACTTTTCCATAAAGATAATAAAATATATTTTACAAGAAGAAAACCGAGGAAAATATTTTCAACAATACTGCAACACAGTTTCTTTCTAAAGAGCATTTGCAATGCATCTCATAAAGCAGCAACTATGATCAGTGTTCAGAATGAAGAAGAGGAATTCAAGGAAATAATGTAACAATATACCACACCAAATATAGGCAACTGCCAACTGATACAAATTTTGTGTGGCGCTCACATAATAAATACTTGAAAATATTTTTTTTTTTTTAATTTTCAAGTGATTTCTGTTCCTGATTAACAGATCCTAGTTACAGATCAGAAAATGTGAATACATTTTCTTTCCTTTAATGTTGGATATATAGAACACTTCATAAGTTTATAAATGGGTGTTCAAAGTGTCTTCCATGGGAATCAGTACATGGTTCAGCATGTCTTACTATGGAACACTGAACCTGACAGACATTCATAATGCGCTGGTGAAGTGTCTTCATATTGTGAACCAGAAGTGAACACACAACAGCCTTCAAGTGCCAGGTAGATATGCCAAGGATTCAACTCAGGTGAAGGTGGGGGTACACAGTGGATCCTCCTCTACCTATCCATCAGTTATGTTGAGGACATCACACACAACATGACTAAAATGTGCTGGGGCACCATCAGGCATGAACCACATGCATTCTCTGACCGCCAGTGATACATTTTCTAGTACAGTGCGTACAATCAAGTGCGCGCCGCGGCTGCAGTTTGCCGTGNGACATGGTAAAATGTACAGGCCTACCAAACAATCCCCAACAATACTAGCCCAAACATTAATGCTGAATTGTTGCTTGTCTCTAGACTGGAGTATACCACAAGGATTGTTCTCTGCCCACTTGTGGTGGATGTGAAAATTTATAAGGCTGTTTCTACCAAAACCTTCCTGGTTTGAAAAAAGCACTGACAAAAGAAAGAAAGACTGACACAAAGTGTCTTGTGCTGAACAGTTAGGAGGCTTGAGGTCCTGGACTGGCTGTAAATTGTATGGGTACAGCAATTTCCCATGAAGTATTTTCCAGATGACCATCTGTGCAACATTTAACTGTGTTGCTATCTGTCTTGGCTGACATCCAAATTCTTGTTAACAGAGTCCAGGATATGCTCCTCAACATCAGGTGTTGGGATGGACCTCTCTGTTCCCCAGTTGAAAGAAAGAGGCTTAAATGTTTCAGTTTCTCTAAGCTGACGATCAGTTGAGGCAACTGTTTTATGGTTTCAATGGCACCAATATGGGAATGTTTCCTGGTAAAAGTGGACAATTCTCTGACCAGTGCCATTTTCATGGCCACATATAAGATAAATGTCCACCAGTTTGTTAAACAGATACCCATCCATAATGTTAGTATTCATGATAGCAGAGTACAAAAAAGAATTTTGCACTATGTGCTGCAACAGTTCTTGTACAGTTTGTCACTACACATAAGCAGCACACATGACCCATACTGATGAACTGCTGAAAAGGGACTGTAACCAGTGACACTGACAACATGAAGAATGTGTTCAAATGTCAATGTAGGCCTATGATGGGTGCAGGCTTTTGTTGCCCTATGAGACAGATAAACACCACTGAATTTGAGAACATCAGTTAAAATAGTCATTAAATTTGCTGGGCTATTACTCTGAAAGTATTTACTGCCACACATATATGAACTTCTTTTCTTATTCTGGTATGTGAAGTTCATCCCCAAAATTTGTCTGCACATTTCAGATTCATCCTGTCTAAGATCTGAGGTTATCATGACAATGAAGATTTATAATGCAGTCTTCTGGGCTACGACACCATGTAATCTGGTAGGTGGTTACCTCCCTTAAAAGGGAAATATGAAAGGGCTAGAGGCCCTGAAGATGGCACATACAGACGGGTGCTTGAAATGGCTTCCAACTGAATTTTAATGGCCTTTTCCCACAAGTACAAATAGTCTATAAAATGAATATTATGAAGCTCAAGTTATGTTTCACTTTCACATGCACACACACTTATAATAAATAATACTCAAACTGCAGTTTCAGAACTGGCCTTAGATTATAATTTTTGGTTCAACATAAATTTCAAAGTTGATAAAATGTGCAAGTTTTATAGAAATTGTTTTTATTTTGTCATTTTATTGAGCTTCTGTAAAATGTATGTAACTTTCTACATTAAGGCATAATTTTTCTTCACAGCTTATTTCAAGGTAAAACAATGTTCTTGTAAAATGTCTGTAGGAATTTAATACATGTGATGCTAGGTCACAACTACCTGGTGGTGGCAAAGGTTAGGGAAACACTGGCAGTGAGCAAACAAACAACACACAGAGTTCACATGGAGAGGTTCAATTTCAAGAAATTAAATGAGGTAGAGGGTAAAGAGCAGTATTGTGTTGAAATCTCAAATAGGTTTGTGGCTTTGGAAAACTTGGAAACCGAGGTGGATGTTAATAAAGCTTGGGAAACTATTAGAGTATAAAAATGTCTGCCAAAGAGAGTCTAGGTTATTATGAACCAAAGAAGTATCAGCCATGGTTCGATGAAGGATGCTTAAAATTATTAGATCAAAGAAAGCAGGCCAAATTGCAATGGTTACAGGAACCAAGCGAGTTAAATGGGGACAATCTGAACAATATAAGATATGAAGCCCTTTTGAGGTTGAAAGTGCTATTGCAAAATTGAGACGGTATAAATCACCAGGTAGTGATCAAATTGTGGCAGGAGGTGAAATATTACATTCTAAGATCCACGATCTAATTACTTCTATTTGGCATAAGGAAAAATTGCCTGATCAGTGGAAGGAGTCTATTATTGTACCAGTTCACAAGAAAGGTGATAAAACTGACTGTAGTAATTATCGAGGGATATCACTGCTATCAACTTCATACAAAATTTTATCCAATATTCTTCTCTGAAGGTTAAGTCCATATATAGATGAAATTATTGGGGATCATCAGTGGGGGTTTTGACGTAACAGATCAACTACAGATCAGATCTTTTGCATTTGTCAGATATTGGAGAAAAAATGGGAGTACAATGAAAGAGTACATTAGCAATTCATAAGACTTCAAGAAAGCCTATGATTCGGTTGGGAGGGAAGTAT